TCTGATGACATTGCTTACCGTGCTAGAGAAATTGCCATTACTGGTATCAAATGTGTTCTCACTTGGGGACAAGATACCAAACGCACTGTCATCTTAGTCTGTGAAACAAAAAAAATCCTGTACTGTCATAGAGATTAACTGCTTCATTGCAGAAAATGCTTTGGAAGAGCCTGTTTGATCAGAAACAGGAAGCAGGTTCTTGCCTGCGACAGCTGCTGCTGTAATTTGCTTGTTAAGGAGAGACTGAGTAATCAGAAATGTGTGTATGCTTGGCCTCAAGTACCTGTAAACGTGTGAGTGGCCACTGAGCAGGTGTTGGCAATGGACTATTTTTAATTGACGGAAGGCATGTGCTGCTTCCCAGTTCCCGCTTATGGTTACCGCATCAGAGTTGAACTTTGGTGCATGAGCTTTTTGTATTGCTGAGATGTGTGGCAGAACTGCATTTTTTCTGATGGGGCTTCTGAAGCTCATGCTTATAAGTAACAAAGGTGCCATCTGAAGCAGTCATCTTCCTGCTTCTCCCCATCCATATTGGCTCAAGAAGCAGAGGTGGTGCTGCTCCAGCCCGTAGGAATCCTGCCTCTCTGTGCAGAAAGGACCCTGGCACATCTGACTTTTCCCTTCCAGTCAGCAAGGGAGAAAAATGTTCTGTCCTCTTTGCCTGCAGGACCAAATTAGTAGCACCAAGAACTAAGGAAGAAAGCATGAGTGGTGAAATGTTAATCATGTAAACACTGAGCTGGGAGGGTGTTCTCAGTCATGAAAATTACCTAAAAGTAATAGAAGGGTGTTTTTATAAAAACAACAACCAACCACTGCTGATGTCATCAAATTCCAACAATGGTAATTAAATCTCTTAGTTGCAGAAATTGTTTTATCATCGGTGGTCTCTTGACACCAGCGGTCTGTGATCCTCCAGCAGAACAGTCATTGCTGAAAGTGGTTATTGCTTTACAATGCTGGCTCATATAAAATACTTCTAATAGGAATAATGCAGGAAGATTTTAATGATATGCCATTAGTGTGTCTCCTAGTAAAAACCGTTTTTCTATTTTATGGGCCTATAAGAGTCTTTCTAGACTGAAGCTCTCTTGCTGAAACAGAGCAAGGAGAAAGTGGTTCTCTCTGTCTGGCAATGAGAATCTAAATGTCTGCATTCAACAGCTGGTGTTTCAGTGAATTCTTTGGATGTTTATTAGTGCTTTCGCTCTTCAGTAACATTCCCATGTGGCCTTTTTGTATGAGCTAGCACTTCTACCACAGAGTTTGGGCAGCGTTGCAGCTACCTAAATGTTAGTGAAATTCTCCCTCCTTAAAGCAGAAATGTTCTAGATGTTCTTGAAGCAGAAATGTTCTAAATGTTCTCAGCCTTGTTCTAGAAGCCAGAAAAAAGTTGTTAACTATTTTTTTATAAGGGGGAAAAGAAAAGATTCGATGCTTTGTACTGACAATGCTGTTCTTTTCTCAGTGAAAAGAGTCTTTTAGTTTGCTTTGAATTTATTTCAGCATGGTATTTTCACAGGGGCATCAAAAGTGGCCATGACTTTTTATTGTTTCTGTACACCTCCAAAGCACGGCACAATGTTGGATAGGCTCTCTTCCTCTCCCCCTTTCGGTAGGGGCAGCCAGTGACTATGAAGGGGAGCCAATATTTGTGGGACCCAGAGGTAAATGTTTGGGCCAGGAGGGGAAAAAAACAGTACTAAACAACAATGAAGTAATAAAAAGGTTCCTCCTAGTAAGCGTGAGTCAGAAAAGTTACTTTACAATTACATGGATGTTCATTGACAAGTGCTCAGATAGGATGAGTAACACAGCAGGGAAATACTGGCAGCTGTGAATGGGGAGACTCTGGGGTGCCATTCCAGCTAGATGCACTTGGCTGGTCCTGGTCTTGTGCCTTCTATAGGATTTTAAAATACAAATTGTCAAATTGTAACTATTAAGTATGTATTTCCCTTTGACCACATACTAGATGCTGATTAGGGAATTAGCAACAGCTGAGAAATAGCTGCAAGGTTTCTTTAATCAGAGATCAGTAGGATCCATTTGGTTTCTTTTCTGCAGAACCTCTGAAATGTAGGCGAGTGCTGGCTCCAATGGGAGCAGTCCTTCGGATTTAGCAGTGATCTCTACTCACCACAAGGTGTCACTACAAAGTAAAGAATCTCGCTCCATCAACAACAGGCTTCACAAATACTAAAGGCGGACGTCCCAGTGTTAAGGTGCTGACTCCTCCCTCAAGTTCAACAAATGTAAATACAGCTAGGGACTAATAATGGTGCTTTGCTCTTCCATAAAAAAATAGTTCAGTGCATACTACTGCCTAACAGGATTATTAGCAATAAAAACCTAACAGTGATTGTGCTGTCTCCTTGTTCTCCAGAGGTGAATAAGAGGTATATTATAGGTATCTGTAGCAAGGTTGCAAAAACCCAGAAGTCACGGGCAGTGTAAAAAATTAGGCCTAACACCTGGGTTGTTGCAGAGGTTATGAAGTACATCCTTCTATATGTTTGCACCCTTTGCTCCCCGTTTTGTGCATCTTTGCTGCCCAATTGTTTACGTGGCCCATTGGGTTTTCTACAGGTAGCCAGATGTAAGAAAGATTTCCCCACAGTCAGAAGGGTGGGGAAAGTAATTTTTTTTAAACTGGCAACGCAAAGAGAAAATTCCTGTTTCTGGAAATAATAATTGTTCGCGATCAGATTATTCTTGGAAGTTCACATTTTAAATTGAAATGATGGAGCTTTGCTGACCTTTATCATTCCCGAAATGTTTGCTGGATTATTTGGGGTGGGTGGGGGGAAAATGGAACTGTATTAATTGTAATTAAATTTGTAAAGAATGTAACTTGCCTGTTTGAGGCGTATGGAGAAGAACTGTGAAACGGTCTGCAGGGCAAAGGCTGATGTTTTATTTGATGTGTTTATGTGGGGGGGGGTCCTTGCGATCTGGATCCTGGTCTTACCAACAGGTGGAGCATTCTCTGGTCCACAGAACTACAAGCTCGCGGCTGTAGGGGTCTCTCATCACCCGACTGTGAAAATTGTACCGACAAACTGTGGGACCCATTCTGGGCTGCACACAGCAACGTTTGGTTGGATAAGTGGACTTCTCCTCGGATGAGATTTTGAAAGGGAGCTGGTGATGCCACAGCAGACTGAACACGTGGCGGGAAACTACTGTAACGAGAGCGCATTGGGTACATTATGACTGACCGAATCCCTCCCCGCGTGTTCACCTTCCCTCTCCCCGCCCTGCCGCAGGGGCTCAGGTACCTCACTCAGCTGCCTTTTCCGCTGCTCCTGGAAGATGGAGCACAGCATCAGGGATCCTTTGCTCTCCTCTCTTGCTGCTGCAAAGAGCTGGGTTCGAACTCTCCTGGTCAATACTGGAAAGGGGAATGCTATTTATTTTTGTATTGTGTATATTTTGTCTTGGTCTACTGATTCCCTTTATCCCCTGAGAGCGACAGTTACCTCAATAGCTAGTTTATTGTGTGTTGGGTAAATTTTTTTAAGGATCTTTTTTTTAAAAAAGAGCTTGTCCCTTGGAGATCTGTAGATTTTATTTCCATAAGAATTTGTTATTTTGTATAAAGTATGTTCTTAAAATAGCAACTTGTCCTAGTCCGTGTGTACTTTGGCTTCTGCATGAGCATGCGTTAGAACATTGCTCCTTCTCGGCCAGCACCTTCTACTCCCATCAGCCGCTCTCCAGAGTCCCAAGCAGGGGTCTTGCCCCACCGGGATCCAGGGGTCTGTTTAGTTGAAGATGCTGGAAATTGAGCCTGGGACTTTTCACGCCAAGCGTGAAAAGCCATTGCCCCTTTTTCTTATTTCAGGATTTACATTTGACCAGTGATCCTTCGGTGACAGATTACTGCTGGGAAGCCCAACCGTAGCCCTACTGATTTCTGCCATGGGATGTTTAGCAGCAACAAAGCTGGTAATTCTGAAGTATAACTAGTTCCATCCTGCTCAGTTGGATGTCCTTCTCAAAGGCAGCTTCTTGAATCCCTTGTTCAGGGCAAAGGGCAATGGACTAGCCCCTACTTTTCTTCTCCATATTGGGACAAAGCCAGCATTGATGTAATTCTGCCTGAAGTAGCTTTGCAATGAGTACTATGGTGAAGTACTCTGATGCTGTTGATAATTGGGTGCGATTTTACTGTTAAAAGGTAAGTAAAATGCTTAATTACACATAGTCTGGTACATTCTTACTGTACCACAAGAATAAGGTGGATAATTGGTAAGCTAGAAGTGCCTAATGCCACTGCCAGGATCCCCCACATATCAACTCTGCTGCAAAGGCATCCACATAATCTGTATCATAATGTGACGAAGGAGAAGCTGTGGACAAGCAGCTGCAAAACAGATAGCTCCAGCATCTGAGCCAAGCCGCATGGGAAGCAACAAGGATGGAGTGCATATATGTGTAATGTTCTGGTTTCAATTTACTTCTTGTTGGGCTGCATCCAGCTCAAAGATTGTGGTTTTCCCTGCCTCCCCCACCAGCTGCCACCATTTCTGACTCCGGAAAGTTTATTACTAAAGATACAAGACCATTGAGAGCTGGTGGCCTGCAAGGGCAAAATCTCTCCCTTCCTCTTACATCAGCAGAGTTCTACTGATGCAAGAGGCAGGAAGGATGCTTTGGTTCCCCTTCCCCATTGCAGCCATCCAACATGAATCGCCAGGAATAAATAAAGGTTGAAGCGGAAATATTAGCAACTATCAATGCCTTCTGCTGTTGCAGGATCCAACCCTTACATTTACATGTCTTCAGGCAAACTCTAGGTCCAGAACTCTGCATCCATGTTTGAAAATTTCTTATAAAAGAACTGGGAGTGTGTATTGTCCCAATCACAGTGTAATCTCATATTTCAGCTGGTTTAGATACAATGCACTTTCCTGTCCTTATTGGTTTGTTTTCCTTTCTTAGTTAGCCCTTGTTGGGGGTAACAGGAAGCAAAACGTGCGTTTCAAGAAAGACCAGGTGTGATGGGAATGGTTTAATTTGACCCAAGAGGTTGCAGAGTCCAGCCCCTAGGTATATGAAGGTAATCTTTAAAAAGAGAGAGTGTCTTTTCCTCACCACTGAGAAACCACAGACTTTGAGAAGACTTAAGAATCAGGAGGAGGAGTTTTCTGCTATCTTGAGCTCCAGCACTTTCCTTAAGAATAACATTTGTGGGGGATAGTCAGAGCCATTTGTAACGTAATCACTGCCCTCTGCTTGGGATCTGACTTTAAGATTTCAACTGGCAGCCTGCAGCAGCATCTCTTCCTGTTGGGTGGAGCTGCCCACCCGCTGCTCCCCCTTCACCCGTCTAGCTAGCAAACCACAGGCTTGCCGCCTACTTTTTTTCCTTCCTAACAGGCTCGGTGCCTAGGGACTGTAAAAAGTTTATAACCTGTTCCAAAGCATCACATGGCTTTTTCAGAAGGTTCTTTGTAAGCAGAAGTTTGTATGGCATAGTACTTTGAAAGAATGAGTTGTGAGCTAGCAGGCCAGCAGTTTAGATGTGATCCCTGACACAAACTCATTTGGGGTCTTTAGGGAAGTGTCCTTTCCACCTCAGACACACACACCCATCTGCAATCTATATATCTAATAGCCAAGGTGCCCCCCCCCCGGTGCAGATATCTAAATCCGTACATCGGGGGCACCTGGGGGGGGCAGGGAGATTTTCCTGCACATTTGGGGCAGTCCCCAGATGTGCAAAACATCTAAAAACTAAAAAAAACTATAGGGGGAATATTTAAATCCACCCAAAAGTAAAGGGGGATTACCACGGGGGGGGGAGAAGACGTGGCGGGCCGGCCTTGCCGCGGGCGGGGGGGGGGGGGGGGGGGAGGAAGAAGGCTGGGCTCACCTGCTGCCACGTCTCCTGTTTCTGCAGGCTGGGAGCTGTGGGAATACTCCCCCCCCCCCAGCAAGTATTGCGGGTCCTGCCTCTTGTATGGGTCTAATAATAGTGGTCTACCATACAAGATTGTTACAAAGACTACAGTGAAAATACATGAGAAGTGCTTTGAAAACTGAAAGTGCTCTATTTATTAATATTACTTGGTGCCAGGCTACAAGACACTGAAGGAAGCAGGGGTCTTCAGAGATGGGAGGTTTTTGGAATGACAACTCTGTCCCCAGAACAGTGGTTCCACTCAAAGGCAGTGCAGAAATGGATGTACAACCTGGTGCAAGTTTTCCTACAAGAAAGAATATTAACTGCAGCTGAGACCATGAATTAGTTCCTACAGCCGGGGAATCCAAGATGGAGCCAACATTCTGTCAGCCTCTCACTCAGCAAAGAGGGTATTTCCCCTGCCTTCTAAGGGAATGTGTACAGCCGACAAATTCCTTCCTTGCCTTCGAGTCACATCAAGGAGCCTCACTCACCAATCATACCAAATCCTCCTCCACAGGACAGATGCCAGGTTAACCATTACACTAGGCAGTAAACAATGTTCATTGACACAGGTTTATTTATTTAAATGAAGTCAGTTTTTAGTTCTCAGTTAACTAACAGTAAGGTTGAGGTTACGGTATGGCCTTGGTACATTTTACTTGAAATATTTTTAATTGTATTAATTTTATGTAATATAGTCTGTGGTTAATAATATATTCTGTGTTCCCCTGAATTCAAAAAGCAGACCACACAAATCAAAATTAGAATTAAAAAATCAGGAAAAAAATAATAGAAACCTCCTCCAAAAAAACTCTCATTTAACAAACCCAGCAATAAAAGCAATACAATCCAAGATATAAAACATCAATAAAAACCCAGAAAAACCGTAACGGTTAAAATCCACGTATAAGAAACAAGAAATTGCTCCATGTTGAGACCATCTCTCTACTTGCTGGAAAAGAGACACCTTGTCCCAAACTTTGTGATAGGAGCCTGCATACTTACCTGTCAGGGTAGGGCGGGATATAAATCCCAGAATAAATAAATAAGGTAATGGATCTTGTATCAATTAAATGGACTTCTAACAAAGGTCTCTCTGACATCCAGATCTCAGCTGGCAACTGGGCCTGTACAATAATCATCTGCTTTATATGTGTATATCAACCATCCAAAGTGCTTCACATATATTAACTTATCTAATTCTTATAACACTTTGGTGAAGGAGGTTGGTATTATTGCCATAATACAGGCCAAGACAAAGGCAGCTTTGACTCTCTAAAGGTCAAACCCTGGAAATCTTGTTGGTCGTTATGGTGCTACTGAACTAAAATTCTTTACAAGATAAACAAGGGAATACATTAGAAGAACACAGCCCACTACCTGGTATGTTCAGGGCTGGGCTAAACATTTCTTTCACAGAGGAAAAAGTCATGCAAAAATAGCGGGGGAGGTGGAGATTCTTACTTATTACCACCACATGGGGAAATTCCTGGAAATTTAAAGGCTGGGGAGGTGGGCTCACAGCAGGGTATAATGCCATACAGTCCACCCTCTGGAGCTGCCATTTACTCCAGCAGAACTGATTCCTAGCCCTGCAGATATTTCCAGGCCCCACTTGGAGGTTGGCAACTGTCTCCTTGCACCTAGAATATAACATGTGGGGGGGTGCGCCATAATTATCTGAGCACACCGTCTCCCTAGTCATGTAATCTCACCTCCAGCCTGAAGGGAGTCTGGGAGTTTGTGCAGACAAATTACACAGCCCAATTGGATCGTTCTGCAGAAGGTAAAGGATGGGGGATGAATTTGACTTCAGGACTCCTACAGTTAACACACTGCTGTTTACTAAAGGTAGCATCCACTCAGGTCCCATGCTGAAGTGTGTCAGAATGGGTGCGTTCAGACGCGCCGTTTGATCTTGTGTTGTCATGCCTCAGCAACAGATTTTATATGCACGATCACACAGTCAACATCTGCCTCCCGTCCCCAGCCATTGGTTTCCGGCTCAGAACTGCTTTAACCCGGAGTCTTGTTACCAGGTCCCAAAGTGGTGTTTTCTCAGTTCTCCCATTTAAAGCCGCATTTCCCCCCTGTGTGATCGCTCCTCCGGTGTCAAGCCACTTCTGGTTTAAACCCCCTCCCCGCTTGAAAGCTGCCCAAGGCTTCCGCTTTTTGCCCGCCATTTTTTAATGCGTTGGTGGTGTGCGCGTAGGCGGAGCTCCACTACTGTGTTTAGAAAACCGACATTTAAACGGTCACTTGTTTTAGAGTTTAGATGAGTTTGGGATCTCACGGAGGCCATTTTCGGGTCAAACTTTTAAAGGGAAGTCTTTTGTTGGAGGGGTTGGATTGATTCACCTTGGTGGTTCTGCGCATGCGCCATGATAGTTCCCCCCCATTCTATGGAGGGGCACCTATGCGCATGCACAAACTGAGAAAAAAATTAAAAACCACCGACGCACGCTCCTGTGCGTCGGCAGTGTAGACGCCGGGGAGCAACGTGACTGCGCGGTGGTCAGTGGTGTCGCATGACGGTCACACAGTAATCTGTTTTCTATTTGCCATCCTCCCGGTTGGGGGCTGGAGAGCTGGAATGACAACTGATCTCCAGACTACATGGATCAATTATTATTTAGAGCATTTATTCCACAACTCCTGGGTCAAATGGCAGCTTTGGAAAGCGGGCTGCATGATGACACTATGCCCCTGCCTAGGTCCCTCCTCTCCCGAAGCTCCGTTCTCCCAGGCGGTTCCCAGCCTAGAGCAGGCAGTCCGGATAGCCTCAGCAAGAGGGCAGCTTTGTAGTCTGCCCCAGGGAAGGCAGCGAGCAAACCAAGGTAGGAGAACAGGGGCTCCCTGTGGAGAGCAGGAAAGAGGAGGGTGGAACTTCGCTCAAGGGCCAGGTCCGAAGGTGGGGCTGTAAAAAAAGGGAGGAAGGGAAAGTGGGAGGAGGCTGGCTGGGGGGGGGGTAAGCTCAGGCCCATAGCTACAGTGGGGCATCTCGGGGCTAGGCCCCACAACTTGCTGGCAAAGCCCCCTGACTTCCCATCTAGCCCAGGGTGTCATGGCCTTCTCCCCAAGATTAAATTGATTAGCCAGTGCCCTCCAAGAAATTTAAATGCCCCCTGACTTTAAAAAATCCTGGCTATAGGCCTGGGTAGGCTGCTGCATTGTGGCTGTCCTGTGTAATGCAGTGTAAACCAGAGGTGGGTGAAGTGAACTACACCTTCAGGTTGTGTGGATTAGTGACCAAGGCAACCTACTTACACAAGGGAACAGTGACTGGGCTTGTGATTTCAAGACCCCATGGACTCCCAAGTATGATCTTCCCCTGCCCCTAGCGGGTGCTACACTACCCTACGAGTATATTGCAGCAGAGTCATGGGGAGCTGTGGCTGCTCTATGCATTCCTCTTGGAAAGAGAAGGGTAAGGACCAGGGGTCATATCGTAGAAAAAGAGCTAGGGGAACTCATTAGCATAACTCATTAGCATATGCCACACCCCCTGACATCAGGGGCCCGGCAGTGGACCTGCAAGGCCAGCGGGAGTGTGAGGAAGCCCCGCGAAGGCCCTCCCTGGCCCAAGGCAGGCAGGGGAGGGGAGAGGCAGGGAGGAAGCAACTTACCTTCCCTCTTCTCCTGCCTTCTCCTGGCTTAATGAGGGCTGGAAGCGGGGCGGCCGGAAGCAGGGGGCGGGGCTTCCTTCATGTGCCTCGCCCCCCTGCACCTCACCCGGGGGAACTGCGTTCCCCTGCGTTCCCCCCCCCCCGAAATGACCTCTGGTAAGGACACAGCTACTGGCAGAAGGCAACTTTTTTTGCTGTCGTGTGATGTCACAGGTGACGTATGGCGACCCAATAGGGTTTTCAAGGCAAGAGACATTCAGATTTGGTTTGCCATTGCCTGCCTCTGTGTGGCGCCCTTGGTAATCCTTGGTGGTCTCCCATCCAAACATCAGCCGGAGCTGACCCTGCTTAGCTTCCAGGATCTGGTGAGATCAGGCTCGGAAGGCTGCCTTGAGCTCTTGTTACGACTTTGTGTTCATACTTTTAAGTATCTCTTGGCCCAGGTAAACATTCCTGAGGAAAGCCTTCACACCTGTGTGCAAAGTCTGGAGCAAACCAGAGATCTGTTACTTGGGCAAGGCGCGGCCCAGTTGTGTTAATGTGACACATTAATCGGGACAGTTTAAACAAGACACTGAACACAGTGCAACATTGCACAGGTAAATTCTCCTTGATAGCCAAGATTGCCCTTTTAGTCTGACCTTACATTAGGTGAGTAGGATCCCTATTGCTCAAGGTATGTCGTTGTAGACTACTCAGCACTTAAGGAAACCTTACAATTCAAATAAAGTATGGTCCAAAGAAGAGGTGGACCACTGACCCAGCAGCTGCTTCTCACACTAATAAGCTTCATAGCTAGCACTTTTTACATCTTCAGAGCATTTTATGTGCAGAATCAGTACAACAGTCCTGAAGGGTAGGACAAAGTTTGAGTCCAGTGGGTAGGTTACATATTACAGGGCTGAGACTCAGAAACAAAGTAGGGTTGAAATGTGAACTGGGGACATCAGTCTATACCACACACACCTTTTGGCCCCTATGTTACTCCAGTTATAGCAACACAGGGTTGCCAGTAGCAACTCAGTTGATTGCAGCAAGCATTTTAGGGAGCAGAGCTTGCCTATGCAGGCTAAAATGCCAACAATGTTTGCCTAAAAACCTGTTTTAAGTTGAGGTTCAGAAACACTAAATATTTTTTTTGTCTTTTATATATGCATCATCCCCACCCATCTTTCTCCACCCACTGGGAGAAGCCTTCAGTGTGAGGCTTGGAGCACCTCTTTTGTCAGGCCCTAAGAGGAAAGACTTTGTGAGTAATGAGGAACAGTTCCCCCTCCCGTACAGTGTTTTTTTAAAATATCTGGGAATTTGTGCACTGTCCCTTAAACTGGGACTGGGCTTGTTAGTTGGAGGAATCCAGATGTGAGTCAGATGCTCATCATAACTGCTGCAAGAGGGGAAGAAGGGAGGAACCGACAGCCTGGCACATAAGGAAGGTAAGCTTCCCTTGTTTCCTTTCATGACTTTAGACATTCAAATGCACATCTGTATTTTGCCAGAAGACACATATTCCTTCAGCGACAACCTATGACTTCCTGCTGTGATCAACCGTGAGATACCTCAACTACTTAGAAATTGCTTAGATTCCTAACAGTTTAGGATGCCTCGCCCTATTGGGATTGGATTTTTTAAATGACATCTCACTTTGAATTAATACTTGCTCCTCGATACTAGGTGTTCAGGCCCACCACCAGTTTCTTTAGCAATGCAGCAAGAGCTGTCTTTGTCTAATCTCAGTTTCCTGTGGAGCTGGTGGTGGAAAGCCCCATCAAATTGCAGCCAATTTAGAGCAACCTTGTAGAGTTTTCAAGGCAGGAGATTAATTTGGAGGAGGAGGAGATTGGATTTATACCCTGCCCTTCAATTGGAGTCTCAGAGCGTCTTACAAACTCCTTTCCCTTCCCCTCCCCACAACAGACACCCTGTGAGGTAGGTGGGGCTGAGAGAGCTCTGACAGAAACTGTTCTTTCAGGGACAGCTGTGCCAGAACTATGGCTTGCTCAAGGTCATCCAGCCAGGTGCAAGTGGAGGAGTGGGGAATCAAACCCGGTTCTCCCAGATTAGAGTCCGTGCACTTAACCACGCACTTAACTGGCTCTCTTTGCCATTTGCCTTTGCCTGCCTCTGTGTAGCAACCCTAGACTTCCTTAGAGGTGTCCCACCTGAATACTAACCAGGGTCAGTTCTGCTTAACCCCCTCAGAACTGACGGGATTGGGCCAGCCTGGCCCATCCTGGTCATGTCCACAGTGCATGTCGCTCATTGCCTTATGTGAAATGTGCAAGTCTAACTACACCCAGAACTGTGTGTGTGCTGCCAGGCAAGTGCTGGAACCGATATAGATTCAGCATCCTCACTGGTGTCATGATGACAAGGTTCTAGCCCTTAATGTGCATGTGTGTAAAGTGCCATCAAGTCAGAGCCAACATATGGCGGCCCCAGCAAGGGGCTTTCAAGGCAAGTGAGGAGCAGAGGCAGTTTGCCATTGCCTGCCTCTGCAGAGTCTTCCTTGGTGGTCTCCCTTCCAAATACTAACCCTGCTTAGCTTCCAAGATCTGACGAGAAAAGGCTATACCAGGCTGCCTTCCCACCCCTAGCTAGGGTTGCCAGTTCCGGGTTGGGAAACACCTGGATATTTTGGGGGTGGAGCCTGAGAAGGGTGGGGTTTGGGGAGGGGAGGGACTTTAATAGGGTATAATGCCATAGAGTCCACCTTCCAAAGTGGTCATTTTCTCCAGGTGAACTGATCTCTGAAGATCAGTTGTAATAGCGGGAGACCACCCAGAAGTTGGCAACACTACCCCAGCCCTTAACACTGGGCTTGAAAAGCTCAGAAATGGAAATAGTGTTTGAGTGGGATTTCCCATGGCCAAGGATTGGGTCAGCATCACTGTGCATAAGGATCTTTGCCCTTCCTCATGAATAGCAGAAGCAGGACAGATAATATGCAAACCCAGGAATAAGTATTGTCATGTATCCAGGGACTTGCAGACCTTGTGGAGTGGGGCTTTCTCACTATCCTCCACTGCCACAGAGCTTCCTGAAACTCTCTCCAGTTTGGTGTAGTGGTTAGAAGCACGGACTCTAATCTGGGAGAACTGGGTATGTTTCCCCATGCCTCCACATGCAGCTGCTGGTGTGACCTTGGGTCAGTCACAAGTTCTTTCAGAGCTGTTCTCTCAAGGGCAGTTCTCAAGAGAGCTCTCTCAGCCCCACCCACCTCACAGGGTGTCTGTTGTGAGGAGGGGAAGGGAAAGGAGATCGTAAGCTGCTCTGAGACTCCTTCGGGTAGTGAAGGGCGGGGGATAAATCCAATCTCTTCTCTCTTCTTCCTGGGGATTGGCAGACTTGGGAACAACAGAGTAGGCAACATGGGGGTCCTCAGTGGGAACTGCAGAATTAGATACATGCCATTGTGTGGATCGATGCAGGATTAATATATGACCAAATCCCTTATTCCGTTAGCAGTGTTACAGCGCATTCCACTTGTACAACACTTTCGTAATTCGTAGGCATCTGTAGATGCTTGATGGGAAATCGGTAACCATGCATCACAGCTGCCAATGGCAAGACTACTAGGCAGAAATGTCTCATACCTCCTTTTCACTTGATTCACAAGTAGGTTGATGTGATAGATCAATTAACGCTCCTTTAGCGTTGAATGCTGGGATACGTTGCTTTGGAGACCTAAAGGTAGAAGAGCACAATCCACTGCAGACCATATTGTTTCAAAGATTGTTGTCACCGCTTCCAATTATAAACTTCTGCAACATTTTGTTAGAGCACTGAGGTATGAATGTGACAAACTGCAAAGCCACAAGTTGCACACGCCACCAGGCAGAACTTTCATACCATCTGCAGTATTTAAATAACGTGAACTGGTTCTGTATGATTCATTGCTGAAGTATGACTCATTGGCCTTGCAGTATTGTTGGCCTGACTTCAATTTTGGCATGGCGGGGCAGAAAAACAGGTTACATAACAGTTGAACAATATCATGATGTCCATAAATATACACAGTCTTTTGTTTAGGGATAGCTAAGGCAGCATTGGGGCATGTCCAGCCTTTTCAAAGCTATGGAAGTATTCTGAACATGCTTTGCCTTCCTGCTTCTTATATCACTGCCCTGCTCCAACACCACGGAGGCCTTTTGCCGCCATCTCCAGGCTTAAGCCAAAGAGACAGGATCATAGAATTGTAGAGTTGGAAGGGGCCATACAGGCCATCTAGTCCAAACCCCTGCTCAGTACATCATCCGTGATAATACAACATCCCCAGACTGCCAGGGAGGAGGAGCTCACCACCTCCCTAGGCAGCTGATTCCACTGTGGCACAACTCTTTTTTACAGTTTTTCCTAATATCCAGCCGGTATCTTCCCGCCCTTAATTTAAACCCATGATTGCAATTCCTCTTCTCTGCTCCCAACGGGAACAGCTCCCTGCCCTTTTCTGAGTGACAGCCCTTCAAATACTTCAAGACTGAATATTCCCAAATCCCTCAGCCTTTCCTCATAGGGCTTGGTCTCCAGGCCCCCAATCGTCCTCGTCATTCTCCTCTGCACCCGCTCCATCCTGTCCACATCCTTTTTGACATCAGGCCTCCAGAACTGCGCACAATACTCCAGGTGTGGCCTGACCAATGCAGTGTACATTCAGCTCTGTATTTCTCACAGATTCCAGGTCACACCTGAAACAGCTGTATCAGGAATGTCCATCAGTAGATCTGAGCACTTTTAAATTTCACACAAATGATATTGCGGTGTTGAACTGTCATGTCACTGATCTCAAGCAAGGTATTTACTTGTTTTAAATATTGATATACCACCTTCCTCCTGCAAAAACGGGGGGGGGGGCAAAGGCAGCTTATGTACAGTTAATCGCCGTGAAAAGACCCATCAAATAGTAGCCAACTTATGGTGACCCTTTAGGGCTTCCAAAACAAGAGACTGACAGAGGTGGTTTAGCATTGCTTGCCTCTGCATGGCAACCCAGGTGTTCTTTGGTGGTCTCTCATCCAAATACTGAGCAGGACCGACCCTGCTTAGCTTCCAAGATCTGAGGAGATCAGACTAAGGGCCATCCAGGTCAGGAGATGTACAGTCATGGTGGTGAAAAGAGCCATCAAGTTGCAGCCAACTTTTGGTGACCCCAAGGCAAGAGACATTCAGAGGTGGTTTGCTATTGCCTGCCTCTGCGTAGCAACCCTGGATTTCCTTAATGGTCTCCTGTCCAAGTACTAACCGGGGCCGACCCTGTTTAGCTTCCAAGATTTTAGGAGATTGGGCTAGCCAGAGGATGTACAGTTATACTGACAGACATATCATAAAACAATCAGACAAATTTGCGTGCCACAACAAAAAGTTTCCACATAGGGTTGCCAGGTCCCTTTCACCTGCTGGTGGGGGGATGAGAGGGGCATTCTGGAAGTGGGAAGTGACATCACCCCCCCATCCCCCTTGAAACAGTGATGGTGCATGCGACGTACCGACACCGCTATTGGATCATGGTGTTGTTAAGTATGGAACTCAACGCCATCTCTTAATCAAACAGTGATTCAGCTTTATTAAGTATTAATAAGAAGATTCAGAGAACACACACAAAGATAGTGGAGCACAGCTCCCTTTTAAATTGTCCGGGCTGGTATAACCACGCCCCTAGTCCAGTTAAGGACCAATTACAGTACAGGGATATAAACCAATCAGGTCTGTTCCCTCCAGAACATCTCTCTCCATCCTGATTGGATGGTTCTACACAATAGCCAATAGAATTGTTGCAGCTTACAATCCTTGACATGGTTTCAAGCTTAACATGTGTTTTAATACAGATCAAAACGTAACAGTGTTACCATGGCAACATGTGAGTTAAAGCTACTGGCTTGGAAGACTATGTTTTTGGTAGCCATGAGGTCTGCGGGCAGAAGTCAGTGATCTCTTAGCTTTCCGGCATGACCCTCCCTATCTAAGAGTCTTGGCGGATGGTGCAGCCTTGGCACCAGACATCTTCTTACCAAAGATGGTATCTGAATTCCATCTACATAAATAGGTTGTCTTACTGGATTTTTATCCACAGCCTAAGACGGACATTGAGCATTTGTGGCACACTTTGGATGTTAAAAAGTCACTCTTATTCTACCTAGATAGGACGTGCAGAAACTGTAAAGATCCTCATCTTTTTGTGTCCTACGCCTCCCATTCCTTGGGACTAAAATTTTGACTCAAAGGCTATCCAAGTGGATTGTTGAGACCTCCTGGAGTTATGTTACCTCCTGGAGAAGAGACCCTTACCTGTTTGGCCTAGAGCTCATTCCACACGTGCTCTGGCCCCGGTCACACAGGAGGTTTCACCCCGCAAGAGGGATGGATCGGGGGCGCATCAAACGGGCGTGATCACACCGCAACATCTGGGAAGCGGAGCGCACCCGTCCCCAATCCGTCC